CTGACTTCAGTTTATGTGATGCCATCCAGTTCCATCCAAGTTGCAGTGAACTGCATGACTTTGTCTTTTCTTATAGTTGCATAATTAATTCCATTCTGTATATGTGCCATGGTTTCTTTATTCATCTGTCACTGGCTGTTTGGGTTGTGCCCATATTCTAGCATGGTACTGAGTGCTGTGATGGGCATCAGTGTACATTTATCTTTACAAATTGTTTTTGTGTTTGGGGGTATAGATGCCAAGAAGTGGAATCATAGGGTTGTATAGATGCTCAATTCTTTCTTTTTAAAGAAATCTTCATGCTGCTTTCTACCAACAGTGAATAAGGGTTCCTTTTCATCTTATCCAAGTTATTTTTCTTTTTCATATTTTTTGGGTTTTTTTGGGTGAGCTAAGCCATACCCAGTGCTCACTCCTGGCTCTGTGCTCAGGGATCACTTCTGGCAGGGCTTTGGGAACCATAGGGAGTGCCAAGGATAATACCTGGGTTGCCCGCATGAAAGGCAAGTGCCCTTCCTGTTGTACGATTGCTCTGACCCCTGCTTTTCTTTTTTATATTACGTCTTCAAAATATACCATACATTTTATCTTATTTGCGGGCCTTATTTAGATTAGAAATATTTGATGTGCATAGGTTTAATAAAATTTCACTTCTCTAAGTAGCTCTAAACATTTTCTAATAATTAAATTTAGTATTGATTTAAACATTTTAACTATGGTGAAAAAATATTGATTCCATTTGGATCACATTTCAGGGCCAGTAGCCATAGGGGCCGCTGGCCGTCCTGTTGACTGGCACAGCTCCTTTCCTCAGCCTCTCTGCCCTGACCTTCCCTCCCCTCCCACTGCTCTCTCCTCTGCTCCTGAGTGAGGCATTGGAGCAACCTTCTGCTCTTCTTCCCCAGCAGGTACTTATTTCACAGCCATTGCGTTTCCTCCTCTTTGCCAGAACCTCTGTCCGCAGAGAGCTGATTGTCTCCTTCGCCTTTTCAGGTCTTTGCTCAAATACCACCTTCTCAGTGAAGCTCTCCCTGTTAGCCTGTTGGGTACCAGGTGCCTTGGCTCCCAAGTTCTTACATTTGCAGCCTGCATTTTGACAGAAGAGGGAGAGGGCAGAGGTCATCTGTTCTACAGAAGGATAAGAGTGAAATAGAATTGGTGAGGCAAAAGCATGGTGTGAATAAGACTGAATAAGGAACTGTAGCCCCTCAGCCTGTTATTACAGAGGCACCTGAAAGGATCATTTTTTGTCTCCATCACTGAGTCTCTTACATATTGTAAAATCTATTTTTTTTTTTGTTTGTTGTTTTATTTGATGTGGGGAGGGCACATCTCTGGCACTGCTCAGGGCTGTTCTTGACTCTGTGCTCAGAAATGACTCTTGGTAGTGCTCAAGGAACCATGAGCAGTGCTGGGGATTGAACCCGGATTGGCAGGATGCAAGGCGAGAGCCTTAATCCCTTAATCCCTGGACCAACTCTCTGGACCACAAACTGTGAGTTTGTAAATGTAAGACTCTTACATCCTCTTGAGCCTTCTTTGGGACCTAGCATAGAACTTACTTTGGGCAGGCACACCCATGGGTGATCTGGGTTTACTCCTGGCTCTGCACTCAAGGGTCACTCCTGGAGGGGCATGGGAGACCATACGTGGTGCTGAGGATTGAATCTGGGTTGACTCCACGCAAGGCAGGCGCCCTTCCCACTAGCCTGTCACTCCGGCTCCACCTGGCATAGAACTTTGTCTATCATGGGCCCCGTTGGTTAGTTTGCAGTGGTGTGTGCTGCGGTGGCCTCTCTGCCTTCCCTTTCTTAGTGCCCCGCGGTTGGTGTACTCGCTGAGGGAGTTTTGTGCGTGTTCCCGTGTGGCTGTGCTTGTGCTCGTGATTCTTTCCTCGTCTATTTTCTCTTTTAGTTTTCTAGAACCAACTCCTCTAAGAGCCTTTGTTGATTCTTCCAGTTTACCTCCCTCCACAATGCTGCCTTTATGTTTGTAGACTTCTGTTTTATTTTGTAGTAGGAAATAGAAACATTTGAACACAGTTGCAATAGAATATGAATTAGGATCTGTAAGAGGCTGTGCCTTATTACTACTTTAAGAAAATAAACTACTTGAGAGCCAGAGAGATAGTGTAGCGGGTAGGGCGTTGGCCTTGTACGCAGCTGACCCTGGTTTGATCCCCAGCATCCTATCTGGTCCCCCTAGCATTGTCTGGAATAATTCCTGAGCACAGACAGGAGTAACCTGAGCATTGCTGGGTGTGACCCAGAAACCAGAAAAAGAAAACTTTAATGCTTTTCTCAGCGCCTTGTTAAATCAAAGTAACCAAAGACAGTAGATTCTCAATACCTATTAAATTGGATTAATCTGAAAGAGAGCAGTAAAGAGGATTTGTATTAATGAGCAAGACTTGGTTGTTTAAGAATCAGGTCTTAAACTGAAGTGTCTTTTTAAATTTTTTTTATTATTTATTTATTTATTTATTTTGCTTTTTGGGTCACACCCGGCGATGCTCAGGGGTTACTCCTGGCTCATGCACTCAGGAATTACTCCTGGCAGTGCTCGGGGGACCATATGGGATGCTGGGAATTGAACCTGGGTCGGCCATGTTGGCTGTGAGCAAGGCAAACGCCCATTGCTCCAGCCCCTGAAGTGCCTTTTTTTAAACCACATTAATAGATATAGGGTCGAGGCCGGAGAGATGGTACTGGTCTAAGGCACTTGGCCAGGCCTGGTTCAGTCTCTGGTAATGCAGATGGTACTCCGGGCATCACCAGGGGTGACTCAGCACAGAACCAGGAATACCCTCTAGAACTCTGGGTGTTGCTCAAAAACCAGTGAAAAATGTGTGTGTGTGTGTGTGTGTGTGTGTGTTTGTATAAAGTGTGTGTGTGGGGAGGAGTGGGGGGCCGGGTGAAAAAAGAAATAGTGGGAGAGTGTGGAGAGGAACAATGAAAGCACATCAGTGCCTGTCCAGATGAAGAAGTTTCCGTGTTGGGAAACCGGGAGAGCACAGGTGTGGAGATGGCCTGGTACAGCTCACTGACTTTCCTACAGGAATGCTGTTTGCATGCTTTATCTAGGGTTTTGCTCAAAAATAACTTCTTTTTTGGAGGTGGGGAGGGTTGTGGCCCACAGTGCAGGGGATAGCACCAGCATCAGCTACGTGCAGAGCCTGTAACTTCTCCACCCCCTCTCCAGCCCTCTGAATACATGTGTACAGCTGTTGTGTCCCTTCTTAAGCCAGGACAGTCTGACACCTGGATAGATCATTCCCTTATTTGTTAACCAAGGGATTGGGGTGAATATTTACTAGTGAGCATCCTTCTGGGATCAGAGAGACAGTTCCGGGTTTAAGGCATGAGCAGTTCGATTTCCTGCACCACCAGAAGGAATAAGTGTCTGCTCATGCCTGGTTTGGCCCCTCCCTTTCCCCCGATTCTTCTCACTCTCTTTTCTGTTGTTTTGAGGAAACCAGAACCTGTTAGCAGATACTTCAGTGATATCCTGGTAGACATCAGCATTATCCTCAGTTTGCTTATTTTCTACAGTTTGTTCTTTAAACATGGAATACATACTAAAACTGACTTTTGAGTCATGTATGAGAGTATCTTGGTAGTTGACTGATAATAGAAAAATATTTTTTGAATTTTAAATTTTCCCTGGGCTGGAGCGATAGCACAGCGGTAGGGCGTTTGCCTTGCACGCAGCCAACATGGCCGACCTGAGGTCGATTCCTCCGCCCCCTCAGAGAACTCGGCAAGCTACCGGGAGTATCTCGCCCGCGCGGCAGAGCCTGGCAAGCTCCCCGTGACGCATTCGATATGCCAGACACAGTAACAACAAAGTCTCCAATGGAGACGTTACTGGGCCTGCTTGAGCAAATCCATGAACAAGGGAGGACAGTGACAGTGTGATCAAATTTTCCCTATTGGCAGGAGTAAGAGTTCACGCAGTTTTTTTCTTGTTTTAAATAATGTGAAATACAGAAAGTTAAATATAAAAATTAAGAATTGCACTCCCAGTATTACATGAAGTAAATAATAGATTCCTGCTGTTTTAAGACATAAAGCAGTAGGGAATACCCACAACACAAAGCAAGGTAAGTAGCCCTTGCTTTTACTCTGCCTTAATTAATTCAGACCAGATAATGGTTGGATCTAGAAATTACCTTAAACTTTAATTGTTTTTCCCTCACAGAAAGTGTGACAATTTTCACACTTTTCATCATTTTCTGTTATTTTTTAAAAATAGGAGCCATAGCACAGCGGGTAGGGCATTTGCCTTGCAGGTGGCCGACCCGGGTTTGATCCCCCAGCATCCCATGTGGTCACCTGAGCACCGCCAGGAGTGATTCCTGAGTGGAAAGCAAGGCGTAACCCCTGTGCATCGCCAGGTGTCACCCTCACCCCCCAAAAAAGCGACAAAAAATAGGGGCCACAAGCCAAGAAGGGTGGGGTGGCGGCTTTGTGAGGCCATGGACCACACTAGGGGTCTTGCGCGCCAGCTGAACTGCCCTGTGGGCTGACTTACCTTGAGACGGTCTGTGAGCTCCCTCTCACCCTAGCTCCGTTGCCACTCCGTGACTGAGAAGTTCTTCCTCTTTTTCCTTGCTGGAAGACTGAGCAACAGATTATTCTTTCCTTTCAGTAGTACTAAACAGAAGTATCACTCTTACCTTATATTTGTCTGTGGGTGACATTCAGCCATCATTGAAGAGACTTGCTTCTTAGTGTTTCTGCCCGTTTCCTATTGTTGGCAGAGCTTGCCTAGTTCACTGGAAGCTCTACTGTCCAGATACATTTAGTGAGAAGTGGCTATCTCCTTCCCCATCTTACTATCTTATCACAAGCTTCTCTCAGAGTGACTTAATGTAAGTATTTTATGGAAATCAGTGCAATTGTCTTAAGATCTGTAGCTATTTGCTGTTGTGGGTGATACTGTAAACTTTGTGATGTACATGGCATCAGATGTGATCGTTTTTCCCCCCCACTTTCTAGGAAGTAACAGCTAGCAGTCGCCACTATGTTGACAGGCTATTTGACCCTGATCCCCAGAAAGTTCTCCAAGGTGTCATGTAAGTAGTATGTATTTAAGAGTTTATCCAAAATGTCTTGTTTGTTTTCATGTTGAATCTACCCAATCTGTATATACTTTTGAATATGCAGCTACAGCTTTTTTTCTTTCAATTCACAAAGACCCCTTGACTTTTATATCTTGAATATTAGACTGTAACTGTCTTTTGGATAACTGTTAACTGGCATGGTTAGCTTGTTTTTTGTAGAATTTTTTTTTTACACAAAATGTTTCCTTTATTGAATAATTTAATGACTTTAATATCCAGCAAAAGTTAGTGAATAAATTGATAATTTTTAATAATATTTTATAATAGAAAAGTCAGTAGGTTTGTTTCATTTTCATTTTGATTAACTTATTAACTGAAAGATTTTAATATCCTAGTGTGTATGTTAATGAATAGTGAGTTTTTTCATAAGTAAGCCAATCTTGATTTTTAATTTTTATTCAGTTTGCTTTTTGGCCACACCCAGCAGTGCTCAGAGGTTACTCCTAGCTTTGCACCCAGCAGTGCTCAAGAGTTACTCCTGGTGGTACACAGGGGACCATATGGGATGCCAGGGGTTAAGTTATGTGCCAGGCAAGCTCCCTACCTGTTGGACTATCGCTCTGGCCCCTGTAGGCCAAACTTTAAACTCCTTTTATTCAGGATGTGCCTTAATTTGGGGCCACATATCAACTAGATTAAGGATGTATGTATGTATTTCACACAAGAATTACTGCTGGGTTTTTGTTTTTGTTTTGTTTTTTAGTGGAGACTGAGGTTTGGGGAGCTTCTCCAGTGTTTGGGGCCTGGGAAATATTCCCAGAGACAGCTCAGCTTGGCTGTGCAGGTCGTATGGTTTTCGTCCTTCGGCCTGGTTATGTTGAAGGCTGCCAGGCTGTTCTGGCAGTGCCGTGGTTGGGGGCATTTGCTAGGGATAATACATGGCACCCTCTGCATTAGGAGCCTGGGCTATCTCTCAGCCCCAGACAGAGCTGCTTCAGGTAAGTAATTAGAATACTAGTTTGAAGTAGAATTGACATTATTTATTCTTGAAGTTCCTGTCTTAACTAATTTTGAAAATAATATTCTGGTTTTCCATGATGTTAGGTTTCAGAGTTCTGTTTAGGAATAAATGTTCATACTTAATTGACTAAAATTATTTCTCTCATTTTCTTTTTCACTCTTTCAAGTTTTAGTGGCAAAATTTTTATTTTCTCTTGGCTGTGATTGCCTTAAGAGTATTCTAGACATATGCTAGGATATGTACTTTACATCCTATTTTAATATTTGAGTTCGATTTCTCTACCACACTGACAAAAAGTAGCCTCTCATAGAGCAAAGAATGAAAGTAGTGGGTTAGCTTTCATGTAAAAGTAGATATCTGCTGAGTCCATTGATAAGCAGAAAAATTTAAGGCAAATATGTTGGTAGCATCTTAATATATATTCTCGCATGCTTAAAGGCATGTCCTCTAGGCTATGTTTTTAACTTTACTGTCTCGTATTCTTATATCAACTCAAAGATGATTCAGTGTGTCTGATATCAAGATAGAGCTTGTCTTGTGAGAGGACTTATGCTTCAAACACCCTACTATCCTCTGTCCAGACAATCAGACTTGAACTGCTTAAGACATGTCACTTATACATTTCCTGTGTCTATCAAAGCGTTTTGTTAACCACTTCAAAATGTTCTTTGTAGTAATGATTCCTGTTCGTTCTGCTCTATTTAATCTTTCATGACTGGACTACTAGTTGAATTGATTGATTCCTTCAACAGACATCCAGTGAGTGCCTACCAGGCGTTAGATCCTGTGGTAATAAGGGGGTTTATGAGCATGAATCAAGGGGTCATAGCTCTGGAGGACCCAGAATCTAATAGAGGAGTCTGGTAACTAAAAGAACAGCTCTCTGAAGTTTGAGTTCCAGATGTTGTAAGCATAGGGCATCGTGAGACTCTAAAGGATAGACGCCAGTCATTTAGACTGTCAGAATACCAGTCAGACAGAATACCAGTCAGAATACCAGTCTCCTCCCTGTTATTTTGTTTCCAGCCCATTGCTATTGAGTTGATCTTTCTTATTGAGTCACTGTTTTTTCCCCATGTTCTTTCTTGAGTCAGAGACATGATTGCTTCTTAATCGGTCTCCCTTTAGTTTGTCTTGCCTCCCTGTCACTTTTCTGACTCGTAGATCTACCCCAAAGAGAACTTTGATCTTTCTTTTTTGGTTTTGGGGCCATAAGTAGTGGTGCTCAGGGGTTACTCCTGGCTCTGCACTCAGAAATTACTTCTCCTGGTGTTTGGGGGGCCATATAGGAGGCCAGGGCTCGAACCTGGGTCGGGCGCTGTACTTGCTGTCTCTTTACTTGGGAACTTCTTTTTCTTACTTTCTTTCTTTCTTTCTTTCTTTTTTTTTTTTTTTTTGCTTTTTGGGTCACACCCAGCAATGCTCAGGGGTTACTCCTGGCTCTGCACTCAGGAATTACTCCTGGCGGTGCTTGGGGGACCATATGGGTTGCTGGGAATCGAACCCAGGTCCGCCACGTGCAAGGCAGATGCCCTACCCGCTCTGCTATTGCTCCAGCCCCTGGCTTGGGAACTTCTTAATCTTTGCTTCTGGTACTGCCCCCAGAAACATGCCATGTGTTTTCAGTGTCATCTACAAATGGCTTTTCCTTTTTGTACTTGCATCCACTTATCCAAATCCTGCCATTTTCTAGGGATTGCATTTGTTCTTATCATTGCCTCAAGACCCACTAAGCATTCCCTTTATAATGTAAATTATAAATTGTTAGTACTATCTTTCTTTCCCCAAGGAAGCTATAAACTCTTCAGATGAGGCATTCTGGTAGGTGTTGCCTTCGGAACTTCTTTATAGAGCCTGGCATAGTGATAAGGTGCTCATTGTTGAATTTTAGTATTATATAAGTTGAATATGTCCCCCAACATTACAAGATGGTAGACATAAGATCATGGGGCTGGTGAGATAGTACAGCAGGTAAGGCATGTACCTTGCCCATGACTGACCCGAGTTCAATTCCTGGCACCCCTTATGGTCTCCTGCCAGGTATGGCCTCTATACCAAAAAATAATAATTTTTTAAAAGTAAAAAGACTGTATTTCTCTGGTCTGCTGAGAAAGGATGTCATTTTACTAAAGATTGGAAATGTTTTTATTTGTGTAAATGTAAAATTGAAATAAAGTAAAAGGGAAATGCACTTACCAGTTTTTTCTGACTTTCTGATACATTGTGGGTGATGAAGGAAACTGCCTGGCTTAAAGGATGAGGGAGAACACAGACTCGAGAGGGGCACCTTCAGGAAAATGCAGCCGAGTCTTAAGTGTCTGTGAGTTGGGACAAGTGCTTCTCAGGCTCGATGAACATTAAACAAAACAACGCAACGTTCAGTCCACTTCTAACTCTTGCTTGGTTTTGTCCTGCTTCTATCTTGGATGATAGTTCTGAGTTTGCATCGTAGAAAAATGGATTTCAGTGTGGTCCATTTTATGATGTATTGGTGGTAACTTCTCTGTCTAGGTAGATATTTTCAGGTCATGCTGATTTTCTTGCCTTTTTTGGGGGAGGAGGGATTGGTTTTAAAATTTTGTTCTCACTGATCTTGATTTAAAAAAATATGCATACATATATATATATCTGTGTGTATATTATCTATTTATATATATAGGCACAGAAGGCTCAAATTCTTACATGTTAGTGATACAGGGGCTTAATGGCTCCAACATGAGATACAACAGTTTTCACACACTTTCCTCTATAGAAACCTTTTTGGATCATTTTATTATTCATAACAAGAAATACAAAATAAATTACTTAGCATCAGCCTTTGGGGCAGACTTGGGTGGTGGTAGTAAAAATCGAAATAATGGTAGTGGGGAGGTATAATGGTGATGGGATTAGTGTAGAAATATTGAATGTAATCAATTACTGTGAACAACTTTATAAAATACATATTTTTTAAAAATTCATCTTGTTTCATTGGGAGTCATACCCAGTGTTGTGCAGGGCTTACCCCGGCTCTATACTTGGGGACCAATCTGGGCAATATTAGGGTACCGTCTGTGGTGCCAGGCATCTGATGGGGCAGCTGCGTGCAAGGCGAGCACCTCACCAACAGTACTGTCTGTACAAGGAGAAGGTGATGAGGGCAGTTTGACCACAGGGACCTGTTAGGGACACCTAATTCAGACCGGGGGTTGACTTGGTACGCTTGCTGGGGAAGGGACACTGATCTCTAAAGCCAGACCTGACCAGTAGTGAAGTTAGCAGGGGAAGGTGGGAGGGGACCCGCGGCATGGGGGTTGGGGGGAGCGGGAACAGGTGTGTGTGCACTGGGGATAAACAGCCTCACTGACAGACTTGAGACGGAGCCTCCCTCACCAGCTCTGCGTGACGGTGATGGTCACCTCCTTCAGCTTTAACGCTTTCATCGGGAGGATTGTAATATCCCTTTAATATAATGGCCAAATAGAACACTTTGCTGGCCATTATAATTTTCTTCTTTCTGTAGCATAGATTTTACGAATCAGAACCAGAGCACAGATAGCTTGTAGATACTAGTCTGCTTTAGTAATGTGTTCTCTTTAATCTGCTTCTGCTAGTAACTACCGAGTGCCTCTTTCATATTGTCTTCACAAACTGTTACGAAAACTTTAAAAAAATTGACTTTGAAAAGTTTTCTGTTTCCTTTTTTCCCCCCATAAAAATTTTATTTGGCATGATTTCAGATGTTTGAAATATGTGTTATAAGGTAGTGTGGGGGACACCCCATTTCTCTGTAGTTTCAGAAGAATTGGGAGAAATCTGGGGAAATACTCAGGCTGAGAATTCTAAAATAGAGAATCCATAGGCATCTGGCAGAAAATAGTCTCTGGGTGATTGCTGCCAAACGTTCATTTAGGCAGAACGCACTAAGGGAGGCCAGAGGGCAGAGGCAGATGGCAGCATTTGGCTGGAGTCCTAAACTGATGGTAAAGGGGGGTCGCTAGCAATCCCAGTGAGTTTCATTCTGTTTAATCCACATAAATTAAAAATAAAAACAAACAAAACCCTGCCTTTTTTTTTTTAAATCCTGTTAGCCTTTGGAGGATCTGAGGGATTAGACTCTGAGAATTAGTTCAGTCTTTCAGCACTGAGCTAATAGGTGGATAGAGTGTTTCAGCTCAAGAACTGTAAAAAAGCTGTTCAGAATTGGCGGGGGAGAATGACTTCAGCACATCACTGTGTCCGAGGGGTGTGTTTCTGCAGTGATTGATGTCACTGAGGAAGGTACTGCAGTTATTACCAGGGTTTTTCTGTGGCGCTTAATTTGGTTGATAGGGGGATGTTTGCTGATAGCATTTGGGTTTATTTTTTGTTTTATGGGCGAGGGCCTCCTGCCCTGCTCGACTGTGTGGCTTGGGCCTGATGTCTCGAGCCAGCATAGCAGAGCTGCTCCTGCCCAGCTGCACTGGGGCCTCTCTGGTGCTGCGGATCCAGTTCAGGGTTATGCACTGTTTTGCTGGGCTTCTGTCTATGTTTTGAGTCCTAGCCAGCTCCTTTTTGTCCATTTGCTTTGTTTTGGAGCCATGCCGGGCAGAGTTCAGGGGGCTGTTCCTCGTTCTGTGTTTGGGAGTGACCTCTGGATGTACTTGGGCGTCCCCCTTACACACTCCTGGGTTTGCAGGATGCAAGGTAAATGCTGTAACCACCTTTCCTATCTCTTTGGCTTTGTCTGTTGATTTTTATTTATTTTGGTCACCTACCCAGTGATGCTCAGGTGTTACTCCTGTGTTCAGGACTTACTTCTGGAGGTGCTCAGGGACCATATGGGATGCCAGGGATTGGACCTTGTTTGGACATGTGGAATCCAAGCATCCCGCTTGCTTACTGTCTCTCCCAGTTTTTTAAAACAATATCCCCTTCCAAACTGGACAAGCTGGCAGGCTACCTAATGTAACCTGCCCACACGACAGAGTCTGGCAAACTCCCCGTGGCCTTTCCAATATGCCAAATACCAGTAACAATGATGGGTCTCATTCTCCTAACTCTGAAAGAGCCTTGAATATGGCACTTTTTAAAAAAAATCTCAGGGCTAGGACGAAGGAGACGTTACTGGAGCCTGCTCGAGGCAATCGACGAATAACAGGATGGTCGTGATCGTGATCCCCTTCCACACTCTCTGTTTTCTACTTTTTCTTAAAAGACCACAGTTTGCAAACTATAGAACCTTTTTTCAGGATTGTCAGTTTTAAGGTTGGCAAAAGTTCCCGAGTTCTGTAGAGTTCTGCCTTGTAGAAGAGGGGAAGTTAGAATTTGATAGTGGATGAGCTGAACTTATTTTAGGATCTAAAGGAAATGGATGAACTGAGACTGAGCAGTAGTTTTGACACTCTCAGACCTGTCCTCCCTTATTTGTACATTCTGAAGTTAAATCCATAATATAACTTACACCTATAAGTCTAAAAATAGTACAATAGTTGGTTTTTTAAAGAGGAATTTAAAAATATAACTTGTAGAGTTTCAAGATGTTAATGCTAGGTGTGACTATGTAATAAAACAGTGAAATAGTGTGAATGCTCGAAAAGCAAATGTGAACTAAGGTAGGTATATATTATTGATGACTTAAATGCCAAGTATGCTGGTAATGGAATTTACAGTGAAGATGTAAAGCTGGAAAATGCAGTTGTCTTTAAAACTGCAAAACTATGCTTTCTGTGTGTTTTGTGAAAACTATGGCCAGAAATTTCCAGACACTGTCAGAGGCCTTCTGAATGTCTCTAGGCATTCAGCACCTATTTTTGTCTTTCTTTTTGGCACCTCACATGAAAAAGGCTCAGTACTCTGACTTAGTTGCTAGCTTATGCATTGGCACATCCAAGGCGATGTCTCACCAGATGTTTCTCTCTCCCTCAACTCAGAGACATGAAAAATGCTGTCATCGGGAACAACAAGCAGAAAGCCAACCTCATTGTCCTAGGAGCTGTTCCCAGGTACGTCTGCGGTCTGCCTTTTCTGCTGTTGGTGCGAGGTTTCTGATGAAAGTCTTCCATCTTTCCATCTGATGAAGTCTTTCCATCCTTCATTGAAGATTCACCATTTTTTCTGTATTGTCAGTCATGTTTTTAAAGTGTATCTTTTTGTGCTGGGAGGGCAGGGGCGTAGGGGCCAGACCATCCAGCAGTGCTCAGGATTTATTCCTGATTCTGTACTCAGGGATCCCTCCTGGGCTGCTCTGGGGACCGTATGGCCATACGGGGTGCCAGGGATCAAACCCGGGTTGGCCTCACGCAGAGCAAGTGTCTTACCTGTGTACAATCTCTTCAGCCCCCAGAGTTGTTTTTTTTTCTTTTTTTTTTTTGTAGGAGTACTGCTATTTATTCAGCCACTGATTAGCTGATTGAATTGTGCATGAACTCCACCTTACTTTTTTTTTATTTTTTATAATTTTATTTATTGAATCACCGTGAGAGCAGTTACAAAGCTTTTGGGTCTAAGTCTCAGTCATACAATGAAACACCCGTACCTTCACCAGTGCCCATTCTCCACCACCAAAAACCCCAGTATGCCCCCATCCCACACCCTCCCCCTACCTGTGGGGCAGATGATTTCCACATTACTCTCTCTCTCTACTTTGATCACATTCACTATTTCGACACCAGACCCACCATTATTTGAGATTTTACCCCAGCACTCAGATCTGCTGAAAAGGCAACAATGGACAATTTGTGTTCTATTGCTGGTTATGAATAACATATGATGTCGTGTGGCTGCAGTAGGGCCATGTGGTTTTGAAATTCCGAAATTTTAACACTTAAATCTGGAGGGATTTCTGCCAAAAGCCTCTGGGTTTCGAGATCTGCTCCTGAGTCTCTGGGATCATGGCAGTTGAGCAGCTTGGTGAGGAGCCAGAGAGGCCGTTTGTGGGCGATGACTTGGGGTCTCGTTGGGTTGGGGAGGACAGTCCCGGCTCCCTCCCCCCCCCCCCCCCCATCCCGTGAGGCCCAACAAGTTTCGTCACTGCGGGCCCAAGCCTGACTGTCCAGTGGCCTCTGGAGGATGACGGCCACCAAGCTGCCAAGAGGGAGCAGGCGGAGGGACAACACCCTTTCCTCCCTGGGGTGGCCCGGCGACAGTAACGTACTGTGGGGTCCGGACGCATTTCTGCCAAAAGCCACTGGGTTTTAAGATTTGTTTCTGAGTCTCTGGGATCATGGCCGTTAAGCAGCTCGATCAGGAGCCAGAGAGGCCATTCGTGGGCGATGACTTGGGGTCTCGTTGGGGTGGGGAGGACAAGCCCGGCTCTACCCCCATCCCGTGAGGCCCTGTGTGTCTCGTCACTGGTGGCCCAAATGTGACTATCCAGTGGCCTCAGAAGGATGATGGCCACTGGGCCACCAGGGAGAATAGGCCAAGGTACGAAACCTATTCCCACCTGGGTTGGCCCAGCACCGGTAGCCTACTGCAGGGACTGGATGCATTTCTACCTAAAGCTGCTGGGTTCCGAGATTCGTTTCTGAGTCTCTGGGATCATGGCCATTAAGCAGTTCAATCAGGAACCAAAGAAGCCTTGCCTCCAATTATATAGCTGAGCCGGAGGTGGTTTGTGGGTGTGTTTCCCACATACCTAACTTTTGGCTGTTTACCTTCTTGGTAAACTTTGCCCCAAGTTTTTGGGGTCTGGCCAAAGGCACAGCAGCAATTTTGGGGTATCTGGAAGTCTGAAGGCGCCATGAGGCTGCTGATGCACTCGCCTCACAGGTACAGATTGACCTGCTGGCGGCACCATATCCCCTGGTTTTATTTTTAAAATAATGGCTTTAAAATATATGGCATATCTTTTAAAAAGAGTTTCTTATATATTTTTAATTGCCCAATCAAGTAGATCCAGAATGCAACAGTTACCCATAAAACAGTTCAAACACTGTAAGTTATTGGAATGTGTCCTAAGAACACTGCTGTAGTTTCTCATTCAGAATTCTTTCTGTGGACGGGCGGGGTGGTGAGCCACACCTGGCAGTGCTTACTGGTCCTCCTGGCTCAGCACTCCTGGTGGTGCTTAGGCAACCAGGCAGTGCTAGGCCCTGAACCTGGGTCTCCTGCATTCAAAACATGCACTCCATTCAGCTGATTGAGCTATCCTCTGTGACCCTCATTCAGGATTTTTTTAAATTGTGGTCTAGCTTACTTTTTTAATTTAAATGTTTTATTATAACTGTGATTTACCATACTGTTCAGAATATATGTTTCAGGCATTTAAAGCTTCAACACGTATCCCAACACCAGTGTGCCCTTCCCTTCACCAGTGACTTCAGTTTCCTACCTACTACCCCAGCCTGTCTGCCCCCTCGCAGACACAATCAAATTTACTTCATATAGTTTGCTACAAAGGCAAATGGAACTATTAGATCCTAGATATAGGAGTCAACTTGTGATAATTACAATATCTCACAATAATCGTGCTAAAGTCATTGAGGATCTGCTGTACTGGTTGGTGCCAGTTTAGCACGTGGCCCTGGGGATCTGCATATCAGAAAGTGTGGCACATTCTTCAGAGACAGTTGGACAGTGGTCAGATGGACAGTTTTGATAAACTTTGAAGTTGTAGGGTGGTACTTTTGTTCAGAATGAAGATAATTTCTTCTTGTTCCTACCCCGCTCTCAAAACTCCCTTATCAAATTAGTCAGTGATGAAAACAAAAGACTGTTTCCTCTCATCTTCTTCAGCACGTTTTAGGGCCTGGCGTGTGTGATTCAGCCTGCTTACTTTATAAGGCTTTTAGTCTCTTCTGTTTATCAAGTTCCTTCTTTTTAGATTGTTGTACTTGCTTCAGCAAGAAACTTCAAGCACAGAGCTGAAGACGGAGTGTGCAGTGGTGCTGGGGAGTCTGGCCATGGGAACCGAAAACAATGTCAAGTCTCTGCTGGACTGTCACATAATCCCCGCCTTACTGCAAGGTACACGGGGACGCGAAGGCCGCGCGTATGGCAGGGCTGCGTGCTGGGGAACAGTCGAGGCCAGGCTGGCCCTGCCTGGCTATCCCTGGGGCGATGCCTTGAGTGCTCAGAGGACTGTGCACAGTCCCGGGGCTCTAGCTGAGGTGGCCACATTGCAAGACAAGCAGCTAACCCTGTTCTAGCTCTCTGGCCCCAGAAGCATTTTTAGACAAGTAGATTAGAATCAAGTTAGAGTCCTTTGAGTATCGGTTGGAAGGATGAGTCCCCCTATCTGTTCTCTGTTAATAGGGTTGCTGTCCCCAGACCTGAAGTTCATTGAAGCTTGTCTCCGCTGCCTGCGGACAATCTTCACCAGCCCCGTCACTCCAGAGGAACTACTGTACACAGTGAGTCTTAGCACTCCCGGGCCTCCATTGCAGTCACTAACAGCACCTTCTCACTTCCTTAGCACCTCAGAACGCACACAGAAAAGTCTCCAGAAGTATTTGGGTTCTCACTGATTTGTAAATACCAAATGATCGAAGCATTGTAAATAAGTCGAAGCTAATCTCAGAACTGGAGGCATTTATTGTTGTTGTTGTTTTAGGCCCATTTTGACCTCCTTATGATTTGATACTATATTTAATGCGACTCAGGTTGCCCTTATTATAGATTAAAGTTCAACAGGGTTTGCTTTGTTGAGAAGCTGACTTATGAATAACGAATAACATTTGGAGAAGTGGAGAGGAAATGAGCCATTCTAGGAAAGGCGTAGAATGCGAGAAAAAATAGAGCAGGCCCACGGGCAGAATTGTCTAATCTGGGAAGAGTGAGGTGTTAGTTCCATGGGACTCCTGAGCCAGAACTAGCTTGCGAGGGGCACCTTCGTCAGGGTAGCGCCAGAGATGGTATGTGAGACGGTCGCATTCTCCCCAGGCCATTCATGGAATCTTCAAAACCTCAGGAATTGTTGGGAATCATCTGCTCTATAACTGCCTGGGTATTTCCGAGCAAGGGTCTGAGAAAGGGTGCTGCTCTGGGCCTTGTGCTCTGCAGGAGGCAGTGCCCTGGGGGCTCCCGAGCTGCCCCCTGGGATGCAGGAGCTGGGGTCAAACTGGGTGGGGTCATGCCAGGAGTGTGCCCTGACCCCTGTGCATGGGACTTCCTTTTTCTCTCTTGGGGGGTTTGGGCCATATACCGAGTGGCCTCAGGGCCTACACCTGGCTCTATGCTCCAGGGTCACTCCTGGCAGGGCTTGGGAACCATATGGGATGCTGGGGATCCAACCCAGGTCGGCGACATGTGAGGCAAGAGCCCTGCCTACTCCACCCGCCACATGGGACTTTCGGAATGAAAAAACTGACTTTGGTTTTCAGCCCATTCTTGGCTGTGCTGGGGGCTGCTCCAGGCTGTGCTTTGGGGAAACACGTGGTGCCTGCGGGGGGGTCTGTCATGCCTCCCATATGCAAAGCAGGTACTCAGCTGCATGCAGCAGAACCCTTTGCGTTCTCTCTGGCTGCCTGCCCCGCCCCTTCTTTTCTGTGGGGAAGGGATCCCCAAAGCATTGCTCAGGAGGCTTGGGGACTCTCTGGCCATTGTCCTCCAGCCAGGTTGCTAGTTACATGGAAGAGCCCTGGACTGTGTCACAAGGTGGCTGGGGATTAGGGGTGCCAGGGATGGAACTGGTGTCTGCTGCACACAGGGCATATGGCTTAACCCTGAGCCCTCTCCTGCCTCCCAGTGAAAATTATCTTACCGATACTTTTCAAAAACTTTTCCCCAACATCCACAGTAAGAAATACATTTTTCATTATCACATTATGTTTTTGTGTGCCTGTGCATGTACACGTGTGAGAAGGAAATAGTTTCTTTGCAAAACAGTTTCTAAATGTGATGCCCTCCATTTCTCTTCTGTCCTTTCTCATTTTGAAATATCAGATACATGCAAATTGAAGATTTTACCCAGAATCTTGCTTGATGGACACTTGGTGAATACAAGCACATGAGATACCTGACGAAGACGAGCCGGGGAAGGGCCATGTCCCATGGCACGTTGTCCTTCCCTGTTGTGTCTGACACATGTCCCTCTGGCATATGTGGGTCACACACAGCAGGGAGGCTCTCAATTATGAAACCGGTCAATTTTATCCTCAGGGATTTGTGCCATGTGTCTCCAGGGAGCCATGCCTCATAAATCTGTGAATTGTTTACTACAGTGGTCCCCAAATTTGAGCATTCACCGGAGTTGCATGGAGGGCTTGTTAAACAGATTGCTGGACCCCACCTCCAGGGTTTCTGACTCAGTGAGCCTGGGGTTGGGACCTGAAACCTTGCATCTCTAACAAATTTCCAGGTAACTCAGATGCTGCTCGTTTGTGGACCACTTTCTGAGAACCACTGGTTTATTGTCAGCAGTTCTAAATGAGGGGCTTTGTGAAAGCATTTTAGAGCGGATTCTCCTGGTAATTAAGTTTGTTTTCTTAGAGCTTCTGCTGTTGGTATGTTTACAAACATATGAAATTAGTCATCTGTTTTCTTTAGAAGTTTCTCTTGTATCCTCAGCCAATAAATAAGGGGATAAATTGATCATGCTTGCTCCTCACTCTCAACAGATTCCATGATCTGTTAATGGAATCATAGCTCAGAATTTGAAAGTTCTGGTCTAAGACAGCTGAGTATTTTTTACATGAGGAAAATGAAGCCCCAGGGATGTGAAATGACCTTCATGGTGCAGTATCTCAGCTTTATACTTCAGACAACAAAGAATTCATGAAAAGTGTTGAAGGGGCTAATGACAGAGCAGCATTTCATTGTAATTGACTGACAGCTGTTAGTTGCATTGTTTAAGGACCAGTTGTTACAGCAACCCAGGCACTAAGCTGAGGACAGAGCTGTCCAATGGAAGAAGGCAAGATGTATGCTTTGGATGTCTGTTTATACCATAGATGGCTTTGGGCAGATTCAATAAACAATTCTGCAGCACAGTTGGCAGAAAGCAGATGTGAAGAAATAGGACAGGGATGATCATCACAGAAAAGCTGGGGCCAGAGAGGTAGCACAGCAGGTAGGGCGCGAGGGTCCCCCAAGCCCTTATAGGAATTACCCCAAGTGCAGATTCAGAGTAACCTCTGAGCATCACCAGCTGTGGCCCAAAAACAAAACCAAAAAAAATGAGAACAAAAAAGGAAGCCAAGTAATAAGAGAGCATCGAGGAAAGGATGGCGGTGAAAGCACTACCTCTTAGTTGCCTGCCTCAGTACTAAGGAATCACTCCTCTGCAGGTCCACAGGGAATGTATGTGGTGTCAGATATTGAACTCTGGTTGGCATGTGCAAGGCAAACATCTCATCTGCTATACTTGATATTTGTATCTTCTTTCTTCCTATGCACTTAGTACCTGACTTGCTTTGAGGTTTCTAAGTTTTGTTTTGTTTTTAACAGTGGTAACAGTGTTACAATAATAAGCAAAGGGGCAAGAATCTACTGGTAGGGAGTCAGCAGCCTTTTATTGTCCCGTTCAGCTTGTAGTTACCTTGGGCATTCTCTGTTCTGTACTGTACATCCTAGTGAATGATGTAAATTTAATTTTAAAAATTCTTTTGAATTTCCTTCCTTGCCTTTTGTCATTTGTCAGAGTATGGCCTTCAGGACGAGCAATCTAATCTTCATTTAGGAAGATAGAATCTTAGGTTTTGCTCTAGCCGTGCAAAATCTCTGCATAAAGACCATGCCCTGGTGGTACACCCTTCATACCAGAAAGGCACTACTTGGAGACTCGGGACCGTGTTCTCTAGACAGTTGGCGAAGTGTCCTTTCCATTCTGTGACTCTGGCTAAACGTACGTTCACCTGTTAGCTTCTCGTGCATTCTGGAAAAGGGAGGTTGTTGGCGGCCCAGCATCAGGGGGCTGCATTCTCTCACCTTGATGCTGTCGCTAGTGTCAGCGGGGCAGACTGACACCATAACGTCTTGGAGATCAGAACCGTCTGCTTTTAGTTTTAACATACCATTTTCCTTATAACCTCTTTATCATAGTCTATATTTTTTATCTACCTGTGGTTTCAGAAAAGGTTTATTTTACTGCAATGATTTTTAAAGCATTTCATTGGTTTCATTGTGAGGTTGGCTTGTTTATAGAAGAGAGACGGGGGGGGGGGGGGGGGGAAGGGGGCGGGATGAAATTCCTTCCTATCCTTCCTAATCAGCAATTAGCCCTTGTCTTGATGAGCGTGTTAATTTTTATTTGTTGTGTTCCTTTACAAGACTGTTGTTAAGGAGGTTAGAATTGGTCCTTGCCCCTGGAAATAGTTTTCTCAGTGTGTTCCTGGTGCCTAAGTCCCTTGTTGTGCCTTTCTGTCCTTCCTCTCCAGGATGCAACGGTGATCCCCCACCTCATGGCGCTGCTTAGCAGGTCCCGCTACACGCAGGAGTACATCTGTCAGATCTTCTCACACTGCTGTAAAGTAAGAACAGAGTCGAAGTGCTCCACCCGGGCTAAGCTTACTTGTTGCTCTCAGGAGACGTGTCTTCTTGTGTAATCCCCCAGAGATAATTGTATGTGTAGAAGCAGGCTGTTTTCAGTCAGACCCCTGTAATCACCAGAGCGGACCTAGGGGTGTGTCTAATTATTGTGTTGAATTGTGAGAAGTTTGAATGACCTTGTTCCTAAAATTACCCAAATATCTTGGAATTCTTCGTCAGAGACTTCTTGACACTTTTAGACTAGTACATCTGAAAATTCTCAGTGCTATTTTAGCTGAAAGCACAGACATAAACATAGTGCTAAATCACTCATTCTTTACTTCTTTTTCTTTTTTTTTTTTTAATATTTTTGAGTTTTTGGCCACACCCAGCAGTATTTAGGGCTTACTCTAAGCTCTGCACTTTGAATTACGGAATTACTTCTGACAGTACTTGGAGACCATATGGGATGCCAGGGATGGAACCAGGCTTGACCATATGTATAGCAAGTGCCCTAGCCACTGTACTATCACTCTGGCCCTCTAAAATTATTCATTCTTTTGCTGGAGAGATGTGAAAACATTGAGCAAGTTTTATTAAAACCAAAGAGCAGGAACCTTTATGCCACATATAGAACCAATAATGTATTAAGAGAAAATTGTTGCAACTCACCTTTCCTCTAACCCAATAATAATCATATGCCATAATAATTGAATAACCACAATAAAGGGTTTTGAGATAGTTAGATCTTGAAAAACACCATAGCATTAAAAAAAAATTTGACAATAGTAGAGTAAAATTTTAATTGTGACATCTTTAATGCTAATTACATTCTTAAAACCATTTCCCAGTTTTAAGAAGCAAAAAATAAATAAATAAATAAAAGATTAGCAATATTAATTGAAGTTCTGACTTCAAAAGTGTTGCCACTTCTCAAGCAGTTACTCATGTTTCTGAGATCTTTATTTTGTGGTGCTGGAGAGCAAACCGAGGGCATCTCATATACAAAGGAAGTACTTCGCTGAGCTAGGTGCCCAGCCCTGAGATCTATCTGGAGAAGTTTAAGGTACTGAGGGCTTAAGTGCTTTCCAGTCAGTGGATGGATGGTGTTTCTTGCCATTATTTTAGACAGATTCATCTGGAGAGGGGCTAGAAAGACTTGATAAAAAAATAAATAAATGGACCACAGAGAGAGTACAGGAGAGAAAATTACTTCCTTGCAGAGCTGACCCCAGTTGGGCATATGATCTCTCTCTCTCCCCCGCCCCTCTCGGTTTTGTTTGTTTGTTTTGGGGCTACCCCGGCAGTGCTCAGGGCTTAGTTCTGGCTCTGCACTCAGGGTTCACTCCATAAGTATCCCAACTCTTAAAAGAAAACACTGACACATGCACATAGCCATTCATTAAAATGAAATTTATAATAGTAAAGGACTAGAATGGGCCTGATGTCGGATTATCAGGTACTCATTGGTGCATAGGACATTTATATGATTGATATGATGCCATTGTACAGGTAAAAGAGGTTTCTATCATTTGTGCTAAAATAGTAAGTGGGAGAGAATCGACTTCTCTCTTTGCACTTACTTTATAAAATGCTTTGAAGGTGATGAATGATTTATTGGGTCTCCTCACAGGGAGGAGTCAGCCTGCTATGTCCCTGCTCTGTGAATGCGGCCTGTATTTCAATTGGGATGTTGGAACTAATATGCAAGGGCACAAATTGCCAAACAAGCCTTACTATGCTGACACGTGAGCCAGCGCTGATTTAGCTTTATCTGCACCACTTATTCTAGTTTACTTGTTATTAGGTAAGACAGATCAGGTCTTGTCAGATAGAGCCTTTCTTCCGCTTAGATCCCCCAAGGATTCCTTTCACGCTCTTTATAATTGATAAATCAGAAATGAGGCCATTCAAATAAAACCTTTAGGGCAATACCCAGCACACAGCAAGTACCCCAAATCTGTGCTCACGGTTATGACTGGAAATGCTGTGGAGGGATGAGGAGGGAAGACAAGGAACATACTTTAAGCCTCTGCCCTAAGAATGTTGGTTTTTCAGTTATTATTAAAAACAGATTTGAATGGATACTTGTTCATAAATATGTTACACAATTGTATCCTTAGACCCTATAACTCTGAAATGAGATGAACCTTTAATAATGTTCAACAGTGTTTATGATAGCAGCACGTTAGGAATGACCTAAACTATAGATTTGCCTGGATAAATGATGGGATTATTGTAAGGTGATTTATAATGATCACAACTAGGAAATGCATAGAAATTAAAAGCAGAGTATCTTTTTGGAGAATTTAATATATATACAAACACTGATTTGTAATGATGCACTTCTGAAGCTTATAGGGTGCACTGTGATCTCAATTAAAAATTTTTTTAAGTTTTGTTACTAAAATGTTTTTAGAATCATTGCTTATAAAATAGAATCTGGGATGTCGTATTTTTCAGAGGCACGAATGCTAATCTCAGCAAACTCATCAAACAAGAGGTATTTGGGGCCAAGAAAGAATGTGCCTCTGCAAGATAAGTTGTTACTTGCCTAAGTATAGTGGGTTGGAGAAAGTGGCTTGCGAGCTCTTGTCGGCTAATAACTGTTTTTCCCAGGCAGGTAACTTGCCTTTCAGTGCTGTGTTGATCTCTGTGGGATAATGATAAATGTGAAATGCTGGGATTGTCTTGACTTTGTCCTTTATCAGTTGAGTAGATGTGTGGGCTGTTAATGAGCAAAAGACAGTGTCGAATTCAAGCCCCTCATTAACCTTTTATGGCTGCCACGGAAGATCTTCAACAGTGATGCATAGAAAACAGTTGATCTGATACTTTTATTTTCCCAATTTATTTGTTGTCCTGCTCTAGAAATTGGTGATTTTAGGAAAAGAACTGTCAGGAGCAGAAACCAAAAACATACAGCCTGCTTGGTGATGAAATGTTTCCTCCCGTCCCTGGCTCAGACTTTAGATGAGGCGTTAAGCCTGGTTTCTCTGGTGATGGATTCATTGTAGAGTTCCCTGAGACTGGAGCATATCAGTATAAGGTGGAAGAATGATCCCGAGTCTCAGGGGAGCAGAGTGACGTGTCAGAGCCCTGGGCATCCTTTGGTGTGGTGCTGGACTAGTTGGCGCCTGCCTGTCAGGGTGGCTTTAGAGTCCCCTTCCTTATTTGAGGGAATTGAGGAGACTAGCTCTGCTGACTGGGGTGAGATAGTCCCTTGCCTGACAAAAAAATGGTATCTGCCTTGCTTTTGTGGAGGGGGCGGAGGGGTCGAATCAGAAAAGATGAACTGAGCATTCCATATTATGCTCAGTATGGTTTTTCTACTCTTAAATCAGTGTTTTATTGCAATGAATAGTGCTCTTCTTAATCTATTATTATATTCTCTTTTCTTACAGGGTCCAGATCATCAAACAATTTTATTTAACCATGGTGCAGTTCAGAATATTGCTCACCTACTAACCTCAGTATCTTACAAAGTAAGGTCTTAAAAATTATGGCCAGAGTTTTGTATTTTATCTTTGGTTTCTAGAGTTTTGTTCTAGAAAATCCTCCGCACGTTTTGCCACTGCTTTGATCAATACTGTGACCAAAGGTAATATCTCATAATCAGTAGACTGGTACAAGGTATTGTTTGACTTGGAGAATGCTCTTTCCAAGGCTCCGTGTCATTCCCCTGTGGTCACTATCAGGCCTCTGTTTAGGTGTCGCTGCCAAAGCCGGCGATGCCTTACATTTAGATTTCGTATTTGACAAATTTTATTTAACCATAGTGACACAGACTTCATATTCTAGTGAAAAGGTCAAGGGTTTTCAGACTACTAATAAAAAAATTTCTTTTTTCAAACATCTCGTAAGTAGAGGAAGGCAGCCTCGTGATGTAGAAACAGTGAGACTGGGCTCCTGTCCTTTGTGCGTCACCCAAGGGCCCAGCATGTCCTGTGAACCATGGACGTCCTGCTCTGCGCCCTCGGCCCCTAGCTTGGTCGCAGGAAGAGCCCATAGTTCTGGGCTTTCTCTTCCCCAGACGTCTGAGCTCCATCTGCTGCAGAGCTCAACGTGAGCAGCAGGGAGTGGAGCCAGCCCCAAACTTGCCAGAGGCAGGGAAAAAATAGCCCCTCGAGTGAGAACTGCGTCCTCTGCCCCTGCCAGGCAGAGGCTGACGTCACGTCCGCACTCACACTTTGGAAACAGTCTCTGGGATGCCACTTTCCTGTCCTTTTTTTTTTGCCCCTAGCGTCATTGATCTCCCAACCCTTCCCACATTTCTTCTTGTGACTGTGCTGCTCTCTATTGATGCAGTCCATGGAACATGAGACTTCCGTCAGTATTGGCTTGCTTGTCAATGTCAGGAGCATCATGAAAGTTCTGGCCCGCCCCTCCCCAGCTGCCTGTCCTGCAAATGCCACTTCTCAGGAGTATCATTCACAGACATATATAGATTCAGGCTGGGAAGTAAGGATTTGCTAAGCTGGTGACAAACGGAGCTGAACAGAAGCAATGAAAAAGAGCAGCTCTCTTACAAAGCCTGCAAGGTGTAACGTGTATGTGGCCAAGAGCTTGGGCCCCCTTTATCACCTAGACACGTAGCTGAGTTTGGGGGAAGTAGTCCAGTTCCTAAGTGTATTGTAAGTAGTATCAGCTTGGTCTTTTTCAGACTTTCCTTGTAACTTTGCTTCATCTCCTCTTTGCTTTATTCTCGTCCCTACCCCATCTCAGGTATCAGCAGGCTGCTGCTGCTGTGTATTTTCATGTGTGTGTGTGTGTGTGTGTGTGTGTGTGTGTGTGTGTGTGTGTGTGTGTTCCCTTCAGGTCCGTTTATTGTTTGGAGATAAGAATTTTCCCACTTGAAAGGCAATGATGATTAGTGATTAGTGGTTTTTTTTTTTAAACGTTTTCTTTTCTTTTCCGAAACTGTATTTTAGTGTGGTCTTTTACATTTGATTGGAGATTTGTCTAGCCCAATCCTAACTGCTGACACTTTTTATCTGTTACTTCAAAATTTTGACTTTTACAATTTTAACTTTTTACTCTTCAAATATTTAGGTTTTTTTTTTTTATTTATTCCCTTGATGCCATTAAACACATAGTAACTTTTTTTCAAAACATATTAAAAGTTGTATTTGCAGAATTAAAATACATGGGTTTTTGTTTGTCTATTTTTGCAGGTTCGAATGCAAGCACTGAAATGCTTCTCAGTTTTAGCTTTTGAAAATCCCCAGGTATCGATGACCCTGGTAAATGGTAGGCTGGATCTTTCAGTGGTACTTACATGATTTAATTTCTGACCTTTAACTTCTGACCTTAAAGAATTTCCTTAATGATTTTGTTTTGTTTTGTTCTTAGTTTTGGTTGATGGAGAGTTGTTACCACAAATTTTTGTGAAGATGTTACAGAGGGATAAACCTATCGAGATGCAGCTCACGTCAGCAAAATGGTAAAAACTAAGACAGTGTGGGAAGGCGGTTTATTAATATCTTAGATTATTTTTGAACAGCCTGATTTACTCATTCCACTCCCCATGTTCTGAGATTTTGAAATCTTATGAAGTTGTTGGTTATCGCATTTTTCTTAAATGGATGTGTTATTTCCTCAGTTTACTTAGTAGCCTATCAAACAGGAGGAACTGTATTATCATTATGAAGATATAGAAGTGTAGAATGAGAGTTAAAGTTAATAAGCAAAGAATGATTTCAGAGAATGGTTTCTTAGACCAAAGATCATAGACACGTGACGGTTTAATGAAGTAGTTATGTAACATTCTTATTAGCATAGTTCCTGTCTCATAAGGAGCAATTACACATGTTAATTCTCTGATTATTATTATATTAACAGGTAGGTTGAATACCTCTTACATAGGGTCTGTGCTACATAAATTTAATTTACTATTTAAGGAGCTGTAACTAATACTTTGGCCAGGATGAGGAATTTGGGGGCCCAGGAGGTAGCTCACAGGACAGGAGCCTGTGCTTTGCATGCTGGTGCCCTGAGTTGGGTCCTTGGCTTTTATGTTTGCTTTTCCTGTTGTTGTATTGGGGCCTGCTCGGGGCTACTCCTGGAGATGCTTGGGGGAATCCTGTGGTGTCCAGATCAAACTAGCATAAGCCACATGCAGGGCAAGTGCCTTTGCGCCTGGCCCAGTTTGTTTGCTTCTTACCTTACCTCAAACTCAGCATTTACCTGTTTGTCAGTAAGGTAATATTCTCGTGGAGTTGATATTAAAAAACAGCATGCTCCCCACGTGTGCAGTGACACAGAGCTGTGGGGCAGTGCTGGGGGCTGCCACTTGCCTGGCACGCTGAGGCTCCACCTGGCTCCCCAGCTCCCTCTCCCACTTCTCCCTAACCCCCAAACAGTAAGAAAACAGCTGCAGAGAACTCAGCCCTGAGGCTGGAGCAAATAGTACAGCAGGCAAGGCGCTGGCCTTGCACGCTGCCGACCCGGGTTTGATCCCCTGAGCACCACCAGGAATGACTTCTGAGTACAGAGCCGGGAGTAACCCCTGAGCACTGGGGTGTGGCCCCCAAACAAAAACGAAACAGGAGCTCAACCCTTTGAACATAAATAATCTTCCTGATTTGTTTTGGCTTTCCGTAAAAGCCAGAATATGGGTGCTGATGTTTTCCCCCCAGCTTAGTAAAGGGATTTATTCCAAAAGGAAATTTATTAAGTTTCTGAAGTGCATATCGTTCAACACCTGCTTAAGGAGTACAAGTGAACTTTATTCTTATTTAAAGCCAAATGTAGTTGTGTAGATAATTTGTCTTTCAGTGGAACAGATCTGTTAGTCGAATAAAGTGGAGCCTTTGACTAATTCTCAGAGCCACTACTGGTGACAGCATAGTTGATTTCAAGTCTGCAAGTTGTATAGTTTAAATTCCTTGGTCGCTTTGTTGTGATTGCTGTTGGTGTTGGGATATCCTCGTAACTTCCTTGAAGCTTAAATGTACTCTACATTTTTAATGTTTTGATTTTTAATGAATATTTTCTTCTTATGGAAAATCTCATAATAAAAAGTGTTTAGTATATTGTCTTTATGAAGTTCATTTTTACCTATTGAAGCATAGGACTATCAGAACCTTCCTCCCTCGAGATAAATGAAAGTCCTGGTCTTCCTCCCCCAACCCCCATCATTAAGGCAAATACTTTTTCTTTTGAAGATGTAAAACACCAGGAAACACTTTCTCTCATCTTATTCCAGTTTAACTTACATGTGCAGAGCTGGGGCTATTCGGACAGATGACAACTGTATTGTATTAAAGGTGAGCTGATTGATTCTTTCTGAACTGTGAAAGCTATCTAATCATGGAAGTGTTGGATGTACATGGTGGCATACCTGTGTGTCACACATTTGTCACTAGGATAAGGGTCATAGCCTTGAATAAGACACCATGCTTATCTTTTTAAAACATCGGTTACATTGTAGTTTTAAAAGAATAGATTTACATGTGTTTCAAAAGTCAAAATAAAGCAATTCTTGTGACACCTTTTTAAATTTGATAATAATTAGAATGATAAAAGCATTTTAAACCTGGCAGGATTCTTAATACCTATGAGAGACTGTGAGAGTTTTATAGCTACGTGGTTTACTTGCTCTACGGATAAATCATATTTTGTCATTCTGAGGGAAGTTAAGCAAAAGACAGAAATTAGTATTAATAAGGAAAAATAAATAGGAAAGAATAAGTAAATGATATACAGAGTCAGCATCTTGTGATATCAAATGCAACTGAAAAATTCACTGGAGAGAAAAGAGCTGGAAAGGAATTGAGCATGTCCACCGTAGAATGGCTTTGTTAACCACGGAATTCCTTATTCTTCTGGCTCAGATGCCTAATTATGAAAATGAAAGGAGTAATTCTGCTCATATCATAATAGTAACAGGATATTTAAAGCATTGATAGTAGCTCCTCAAAGGAAGATAAGAATAGAGTTCTTCTTGGAAGCCTAGAGGTGCTTTTAAAGTCTGACCTACCCTAATAGGAAGCTAGGAGTGCCACAGTCTAATAAAGGTAGACCAGGAACAGAGGAATAAAAGCATATCATAGTTAACTGTGGTAGTTTTTCTATAATTTTTCTTTACGCAGAACTTTTCTATAATTATAACATTTAATTTTCTACTTCCACATTACCCTCTAAAATAGATTCATCACCTTGAAACAATAACTATAGGGAATATTTTCACTGGGAACTTGATGTAGGTGTATTACCACTAATTATGAGATTACAAAAAAAAACAAACTCCAAAATAAACATAGGAAAAGAAACATAGACCTTGTTGATGATGCTGCAGTTATTCCAGGATTTCTTTGGAAACCCTGGGGACTGTGATGGGCGCATGTCACTCAGATTTCAGACGAGTGGAATCTGAGTAACCACACCGTCACTAAATTTTTAAAAGTCTTGGGTTTTTATTTTTTCATTTTTTGCAACTGTAGGGGCTGGAGCAATAGCACAGCGGGTAGGACGTTTGCCTTGCACACAGCCAACATGGCCAACCCGAGTTCGATTTCTCCGCCCCTCTCGGAGAGCCCCACAAGCTACCGAGAGTATCTCGCCCTCACGGCAAAGCCTGGCAAGCTCCCCGTGATGTATTCGATATGCCAGACACAGTAACAACAAGTCTCATGATGGAGACGTTACTGGGCCCACTCAAGCAAATCGATGAACAGCGGGAGGACCGTGACTGTGACCGTGCAACTGTAGATTTTAAACCCCAAACAAAATCAGAGTTATCCCATGTATATTACTCACTAAGGGAAAGACCTTATTCTAAGGCAATTAAATGTCTAATTAAAATACTGGAACTCTTTTAGACAAGCAAGTACATAGATGGGGCACAAGAGCATCAGATGGGATTTATTTGGGATTCTTAAATGTCTTTCATAAAGTTGTACAATAAAGCTTCAGTCTTATCAGCATAAAACCTAATCAGAATGTGCCTTGTTGATATGAGAATATGTTCCAGGACAGATCATTAATAAGTACTAGGTTTTGTCTTTCCACTTACAAAAAAAAAAGAAATCAACTTTTTATTCTCCAAACGTCTTTGTTGAAACACGATCACAAACATAACTCCCAGTAAAACCCTTCAAACTGATTCAGTCGTGGTTTGTTCTCCCCCAGGTGTTTACCTTTAACCGAGGTGAGTGATGCTTTTCTCTGCCCGCAGACGCTGCCGTGCTTGGTCCGGATGTGCAGCAAGGAGCGGCTGCTGGAGGAGCGGGTGGAGGGGGCCGAGACCCTCGCCTATCTGATCGAGCCAGATGTCGAGCTGCAGAGAATCGCCAGCATCACCGACCACCTCATCGCCATGCTGGCCGACTACTTCAAGTACCCCAGCTCAGTGAGCGCCATCACTGACATTAAAAGGGTATGTCCTCTTCCTCCCCGGCAGACAGGGGGCTGGATGCACATTTCTGAGCTGCCCCCAGCTTGGAGCCTACTAATAAAGGCATCTTTTCTCTTCGGTGACATGAATGTTGGCCGATGGCTTTTTGAAATATTTTATTTTAACTTCATTGATTCATTTTGTTTTTTTGAGGCACACCTCCCTGTTCCCAGGGGACGATTCCTGGCTGTTGGGCATAAGAGTGACTCTTGGCAGTGCTCGGGGATCCTAGGGGCACCGGGAGCCTGCTCACTTCCTGTATCTCCCTCCGGCCCTCAGAGTTCGAACTCAATATGTTTCATGTTTCTGTCAGAATTTTTTACTGAATAAGAGAAGGAGATTGTATGCATAATTAAACTAAATTCACTGAAATCCAGTATGGGTAGCATTAGCATTCTGTTAACATAATCAGTGTCTTCAACTCATCTCTGCTGCTCTGCTGGTATTATTTATATTTAGGGTGTGTGTGTGTGTGTATAAGCACACACAGAGAATATAAAAAAATATGCTTGTGCACGCACATGCACACATGCGTGCACACACACAGTGGGGAGGGATCTTTTGGGGCCATACCTGATAGTATTCAGGGCTTCCTCCTGGCTCTGCACTCAGGGATCATTCCTGACGGGCTTAGGGGACCATATAAGGGGGCCGGGGATCGAACCTAGGCCAGCAGCATGGACGGCAAGTACCTTCCCAGCTGCAGCATCGCTGTGGCCTTCAGGCGTCCCCATTTCTTCCAGGTGATGGAGTGACTATGCTTTTATCTTTTCCACCGTTCACATCTTTCAGTGCATTTTTCTTCTAACTACTGCCTCTGTCCTCTTTCAGTTTCATGCTGTGCTCTGGGCCTACTCGTAAGAGCTAAAATACCATTTCTATGATCCATCGAAGACCAAATTGTCTTTCTCAAAATATTTTTTTCCATAGAGTAGTTAGATAATTCTCTTGAGTAGTGAGAATGTTATATAATCCGTTTTCTCACATCTCAACATGTTTTTCATATCCATTCTTTAAGCTTAAGGAGGTGACTGTTCTATTAGAATGTCTGTTAAGGAATCCCTGGTGAGAAGAGCATTGCCAGTGCTCTCCTGTGATGTGACTGTGTGAGTGATGGTCGTGGTCTCAGTGACAAATTCTTACAAACTTTTTCCTGACCTCTCCCACATACCCTAGTTCTAAAAAAGTGACCGTTGGGGTTGAAGTGATAGTACAGCGGGGAGGGCTCTTGCCTTGCCCGCGGCTCAAGGGTCTGACCCCAAGCATCACATACTGTCCCCTGAGCCTTGCTAGGTGTGGCCAAAAACAAAAACAAAAAACCATAAAAAGCAACTGTCAATTTGTCGTTTTACATTAATTACAGAGCAAATTATTTATTAAGGGTAATAGCTTTTCTCTTTCTTAGGAAATTTCTAAAATAACCTTCCTTGACTTTTGTATTAATAACCACACTGTGTCTTAAAGCGACGTGTCTGCTCCTCCTTCAGAACTGTTTCTGCACTCAAGGTGATGGCTTGTGTTGAAACAGGTCTTCTCTGAGTGTTGGCTGGCCTCTTGCTTGCACTGATGCTGCTCTCATTAGTGTCAGTATACAGGAGCGAGTCCTAACCGTGGCCTCACCAGCACCCTGACTCCACGGACCTGGCATGGCAGCTAGGACACTGTGTAGCCACGGGAGAAAAGCAGCATAGTGATAAGAACTCCTAGCATGTGCGTGTGCATATCTTTTAACTAGTATGTGGAAGAACTTGCACATCAAAATGATTGTCTTGTATTGGAAAGTTCTGCCTATGATCTGTCAGTACCTGCTTTGACCAATACAGTTTTTTAACTACTATCACAGAATCACATTCAAATCCAAGCCAAATCCCTTCCACCCCTCCCAGCACTGTCTCTTGGTGCCCCTATCCCCACATGGTATTTTTGGTGTCTTTGTTACTTGGATGCACCCACTATCTTTTGGGGGGGTCGGTGGGAAGTGGGAGAGGAAGGGGGTGGCAGGGACGGGGAGTACACCTGGCAGTGCTCAGGGCTTACTCCTGGCAGTGCTCAGGTGACCATATGGGATGCCAGGCATCGAACCAGCTGCATCTAAGGCAAACCCCCTACCTGCTGTACTATGGCTCTGGCCCCTTTCTCCATCTTTACAAACCACGGTCAGTCACAGTCAACTCAAAAACTCTCTTAGTGGATGAAGAGAACCACAGTCGCCATTTTCTAGCTAATGGCTACTTTTGGGGGTGTTTCAAAATATTCAGCAACCATATTCAAAAACCACAACCACACCATTGCCTCAGAACAGCGTTCCAAGGTGACTCAGTAGGAGAGAGTGATACTAGCATAGACAGTTGCTGCCCTTTGCTATAAACTCATTCGTAGTATTGATGTGCCTTGCACATTTATGGCTTGCTTGGTGTATAGAAGAATCGGTAACCTGGAAATCCACTCATGCATGTGGAAAGGTAGCATTGCTTCATAGTAGCAAGTGATTTTAATAATTGTATTCAGTACTATCAAAACCGTAATTTTGGATAAATGTAAAAGACAAAGTGTTGATTGTCATGCTCTACGTTTTGCCTATTGAGAATTTTCACAAAAGTCTCCATGTTTTTCAAAGCTTGTGCTCAGATTAGGCTAGTGCGAAATATTTGTGGAAATGTTCTAAGGATACTGTTGCAGCAGCACTCACATGTTTAAATCTCAGCTGTATTCTGAACCACAGAGGTCTGGGGTGTACCCTGTTCTTTTCAAGATCACATTTCAGGTAGCTGGTTCTCAGTTCCATTACAGGCACCATCTGGGAACTGGGATTTTAAAGTCTGAGGTTCACAAAGGATTTTCATATACCAGGATCCAATGTTGTGTTCATTATAGACAACGTAGGCTAATGCATTTTTGCTAACATAAACGCAGCACACAGTTCACACAAAGTTTAGTTATTTGTGAGCAAAAGCCCCAAGTAACGAGGAACTTGGCAATAACACTGATAAACCAGTCATTACCAAACATTCACTGCCATTGCCAGTTCCTCACATTTAAGGTTTAATTTATGAAGTGAGTTGGAATCCATCTTTCTTTCCTCCCCTAGCTTGATCATGACTTAAAACACGCTCACGAACTACGACAGGCTGCATTCAAGCTCTATGCCTCTCTCGGAGCCAATGACGAAGACATCCGGAAGAAGGTGAGTCTGGGAGAGGGGCGTCCCCCAGTGCTGACAGCCAGCAGGCAGGGAGTCACGTCAACCTGAAAGTCGTGGTGAAGAGCACTAACAGTGACTGCTTGAATAGAATAAAGCAGAGTGACTAAAGGCAGAATTGAAGAATGAATGGGACCCGGATTTGGGGGTTATTTGTTTGTCTTTAGAACATAGAGTGGCATGGCCGTGCTGGAATGACAAATTACTGGCGTGCTTTTTGTGTCATTAATATGAATTATTATGTTGCACATTCTTTGCATGTTTTCTGATAAAAAATCACTTCTAGCACTGTGAAGCTTTAGATATCTTGAAAGAAATACCACTAGAATGTAAATGTTATTTATGAAATTTCTTCCGATGCCATTGAGAAACTCAAATCTCTATTGTATATTGTTCTTTGATATGTGGCTTAGTTATGTTTTGATTTTTTTTATTATTATTTTCTTTTGCTACTGTGCAAGTTTGATGTGAATAAAATCTTTGTGGAATAATGATTTTATGTTTAGTGATTGGTCATCTGAATTTTTCAGCTCCCAATAAATGAGTCACTGCTGTTGTACCCTTATGTTACTCCAGCCTAGCATAACCCCCAGTTTATTTTCTTTATGACACAATAGAGCTAAGAGGAGAGACTGGGTAGAGTCTCCTGGACTACCTGACAAGATTCCCTTCACAAATCCAGAAACTAGAACTTACCATCAAAAAAATCACACAAGGTTTTTAGGAACATCAGTAAATGAGTCCACGTGTTCTGTCTTGATAAGCCATAGCAGAAAGCGCAGAGTGAGCATCAGATACTGGACCACTTACCAAATATTCTTATTTATATTGGTATTTTAGGGAACCCTGTGAAAGAAATCACAGCATATTGGGAATATTTTTTCTGAACCATGATTCATAAAAATTAAGCTTGGAGAGAGAAAAGAATGGTGTAACTGTAGGTTTATTGGAATAAATGTAGAAAAGGAACCATTCTTGAGAAAACTGAATAACAGTATGAATAGACATGTGAGTAGCTTTGATTTAAAGTCAGAGCTCAAAGCATCATTACTCCAGCTGTCTTCTATATACCCCAGTTTAGTTCAGTTCAGAGATGTTCGGACTTGGAGGGTTTTTAGTAAATGTATGTGATGATCCTTTTTGACACCTCTAAAGTGTTCTTTTGTAAGCTGCTGACTTAAGACAAACATACTAATGATAGGGACTTCCTGTGTCCAAACATAATTTCTAGATGTTGATGCTCATATCTTAGGAACATGGTGTGTTGCAAGGAAGGAGGCTTATGGCTACTTATAGATTACATTTGTAATTGATACGGACTGGATAACTTAAATACATAATGATTCCAGGCTGGAGAGATTGTACAGGGGATAAGGCATTTGCCTTGCATGCAGCCGACTGCATTTTGATCTCCTGCACCATCTGTCGTCCCCCAGGCACTGCCAGGAGTAACCCCTGAGCACAGAGTCGGCAGTATTCCCTGAGCACCTCTGGGTGTGGCCCAACATCCCCCCCCAAAAAAAAGAGATTTATTTGGGGGTGGTTATTAGAACTTATTGGAAAAAAAAGAGTATTGTAACTATTCATTTTGCTCAAGGTCATGCCCTAGACAGAAAGGGAGATAGATAGGGCATAATGAGGTTAAATAGGGTGTCTGTTTGCACTTCTTTGTACTTTTTTGTTAATAAATGATTGTTTTTTAAATAATTACTTGTGATACCATGTTCTAGAAATACTTGAAATAGAATAGTCTGGTGATCAGTAGTCTATTAAAATTTGTATTTATAATGTGTGTAAATTTTTGGTAAGGCTAAATCCTGATGATTTCTGTAGAAGGATGACAAATAAAGAATATAATTATTATTTATAGTATTTTTGTGTGGGAAAGATACTGTGACATATTTATGTAATGGTATTTTTAGGAAGATATTTAATTTGGGGGAAATTCAGTGTTAAAATCATTTATAGTTTATAGCAACTATTGAAGAGAGAAATTGTAAAATGGAAAATATAAAGTAATTTTGTGATAAACTGCATGAAAACAGTTCTTAGGTGTGGAGAGTGCTTATTTTGGATGTATAAAATGATAAATGATAAACCTTTTCCTTTGAATGAATTTCTTTTCATTTTTTTCCTTGCTATTATCTGGGTAGATTTTTTTTATTTACTTTCTACATAAAATGTTTATTTTCTTTTACACTTAAACCTTAAAAATCTAGATTGTATTCCCCTTTTCGGTTGTAGATTCTTGAAGTACACTATTATTTTACATTTTAATATAACATTTATGTTTGCTAAGATGGATCGTTTAATGAGTGGAGCCACTTAAAAATGTAAAGGGCTGTAGACCCACCTCTCCACCACTCCCTTCCCCCCCAAAAAATAAGGCAGCAGGAGCAAAAGGCTTTCGTTTCTTTCGTAGTAAAGTATGTAATTGTTCAGTTGATATGCCATTTTAATTGAAAATGGAAATGCAGTTCAATAAATACAGGAAATAATATATCCCCTACTGCCGTTATTTATGCCAGTAAAGGAAAGGAGGCAGAACGAGGAAGAGAAAGAACAGAGGCAAAGACAGTGAGGGGTGTAACACAGAGCCGGAAAGGAAAGACACAGACCTTTCCATAGAATCCTGCTCCCTGCCTGCTTAAAGGTTCCTGGAGGTTTCTAAAGACCTGCCTTAGAAGATATCATTTTTTGATACCTTCTTTTTGGACCAGATCAAACTAAGCTCAAGACTGACAGTGTCATGAAAGCCAGAGATTCATCACTCCTATTTTGGAGCATTGTAGCCCTGTAGCACTGTTCATCGATTGGCTCGAGCAGGCACCAGTAACATCTCCATTGTTAGACTTGTTACTGTTTTTGGCATATCGAATAAGCCACGGGGACTTGCCAGGGTCTGCCGTGTCGGTGGGATAACTCTCGGTAGCTTGCTGGGCTCTCCGAGAGGGATGGAGGAATCGAACCCAGGTCAGCCGCATAAAAGGCAAACACCTACCCACTGTGCTATTGCTTCAGTGATTTTGGAGCATTGTTGGCATATTCCCATGTAAAGAAACCAACTATGTAACAGCCCCATGAACCCAATAAACACTCAATAAATATTTGTCAGAGACATGAACATGCAGAAACCATACACAGAGTGACAGCTTCTTTACAATGCTTGAATCTTTCTGTATCCTTCTGCGCAGAGTAAGGTTGGTATCCTAATTCCTAGCATGGTGGTGGACTCAGACATTTGCTTCTCGCCTGTGGCAGTCTGTGAGAGTGAGGGAGGGTGGAAAGAGTGGGAAAACATTCCCATTGGCTGTGACATGAAGAGGGAGAAGAAGCTCCAGAAAAGAGGAAGTACCAAAAAGCTTGGCAATAGTTGTAGCCTATTCATATGAAAGTGAGCAAAACTCAAGGATTTAGGTGAGGGAAAGCAAAGGGAGAGGCAGGAATTGGGGATCCAGTGAAGGAAGAATCCAGAACCCTGGAGTGGTCATTGAGTTGACAGCTGTGTCAGGTAAATTAGTTGTGATTTGTGCCACAAGGACGGGTGGCTTCCTGTCACTGCCTTTATCACATACTGGTGCTGGCTGGAAGGCGCCAGTATATCACAGCCAGGTAGAGAGCAGAAGGGGCTGGCGGTTCTGTGGTTGCAAAGTCAGTGCTTTTATAGCAAAGAATTGCTCTTCTGAAGGTCCGCCACTTGACAGGCACCTACTGTCAATTCGATCGAAAATTTTAAAGGATTGTCCTTTATGCATGGAACTCCTAAACTGTATCCAAAAAGTTAAAGTATAAATTGAAGGACAAATATAGATTAAGATTCAGCGAAATTAATATGCTTAACGGAATACTATGCTTAGGTTTTATAAAAGTAAACTGTGGGAGCTGGAGCAATAGTACAGAGCCTGACTGGTTCCATCCTTGGCACCCCTGATTGTCCCCCCAAATCCTCAAGGAGTAATTCCTGAGTGCAGAGCCAGGAGTAAGTCCTGAGCATCACTGAGTGTGATCCAAAATCAAAACTAAAAAGTAAACCTTGCTATAAATATTAAATGTTGTGCTTACTGTACACTTACTTAAGGAGCATTAGCTCCTTTGAGGTATTGGATAATGGATCCTTTCAGAATAAGTCCTTATACTTATTTCAGCTGGAGATCTCTTTCTGAGGAACTAGAATGTAAGCTCCATGAGGGCAGGGACTGTTTTTGTTTTGTTCATGGCTAAATTTCACTCTCTGCATCACTGCAGATATGCAGTAACAATATTTAAGAATGAATGAACAAATGGAGTAATGAACGTATTGTAAAATCGCATTCTTAAATATTAATCAAGTTATACATGGACCTACATCCATTAAGAGCTTCCATACCTTTACTAGCAAATTCTAAAGTATGTGGAGAGAAAGTTTAAAATATGGAAAAGGCAAGAGCCTTCCTTGTAGTTAGCATAGAGCAGCGTGGAAAATATCCATTTTCCAAGAGGCAGGTGATTCTGAGGGTTTGTCTTCTACTCACCCAGATAGACGTCAAAGAAAATAAGTTTTTTGGTATGGTACGTGGCTAATTTTGACATAATTCTATTATGTAACTAGCAAACTATAGGGGTTTCTTTTCTTTCTAAATATGTGGTTTTTTAAATGTCAGGCATTCATAAATATGACTTTGGATCAGTTTTTTAAGGACAAAATCATGGTTCATAGAAAGGAGCCTTATTGTCATGAAAAATTCTCTTTTATAAAGAGACACTGCATAAAGTATAATTTTATAATCTTCCCAATTAATGTCAGATACTCAGTGAATTCCCCAAAGATTAACTGAACTGCCTACCATCATGTAAATATTGTTCAGTAACTACAGGGGGAAGAAGAATAGAAGGGAGATTAATAGCAACAGCATATAGCCGAAAACCTCAACATTTACTATAAGCAGCCGTCAGCTCACTTCAGGAATAATCAACTTGGAAGTTTGGGACACAGATATATCAGTCAG